TGATTTATATTTTTAAGACCATATTGTTAAACCAAAATTATGAGAGAGATCGATAACAGTAAATTTTTTATATTAAAATATGATTTTATTAATTTAAATTATTATTTAGATTTTATTCATATTTATTTGAAAAATTTATAATTGTTGCATGCTTTAGTTTTCTATAATTAATGTTTCTGTGAGATGAAGGGACATTATCAGCATCAGAGACTTAATACACTTTCACCTCTCTAATTAATACCCATATTATCTTCCCTCAACCTTGTTTTTGTCTTATTACCTAGTATGCACAGTTCCAGTAGGATCAAGGTAGAATAGGATTGGGAAAGGGAATACAATTTAGGGTTTTTTTTTTTTTTTTAAGTTTTTAACATTTTCCTTTAGCTATAACTATTGTGGGGGTTATGGCACCTGAATCCGCTGTCATCAATGGACCCTCCTTCATTTCTGGATCCAAGTGCCCTTCTTTCATGCAACACAATCGAAATTTGAAATGATCAATGAAATTTTCATCCAAAAGTAATCATTTCCCATGTCGTGTAGTCCTCAATTGTTTCAATCCATCCATTTTTGGTGGAATTTACAATTTGAGATTGCGGAGACCTGGCATTGTTGGCAGTAGAGCTCATCTAAGATCGTTAAGTGAAGAAAATAATGATCTGGGTGGTGACCAAGGTGAGGTTTTAGCAGGCTTGGATTTGAAGTCTTTGAAGATTTTTCTGAAGCCAGGAGTCTTTATTTGGCCAATGCTTTGTTGTCTTTTGGTTTTCGCGTGCAAGAGAGTGCTTGCGGCGGAGGGAGTGGTGAATGCAGAGTACAAAGTGGTTGTCAATGGCAGAGACTTCTATAACTACACTGTGGCCATGGAAGGTTTGCTTTCTTTGTCCTGTGATTTCGGCTTCAGTCCCTCTCTCCCACTTGGTCACTTGCTTTTAGCAACATCTTCCTCCCACAACAGACAAAACCCAACAGAAGTAGCCTTCCTTCTGTGAGATGAATGGACATTATCAGCATCATAGATTCAACTCACTTTCACCTTTTTAATATCATCATGGTCAGTTGTGCATATGACAGTGTCTTTGGACCATAAATTCTCCAATATTGGAGTATGAATGGCCTGAACCTGGGTATTCTTGCTCTGCATACTGGCTTCTCTTTTGAGTGTGCATTGAAGAGGCAGCTCTGACTGAAAAGGAGAGGCTGTATGAAAATCCCATGGGCCTACGCCTTTAATAGGTAGGAATTTCACTGGATTCAATCTGATTCAAGTGACAAGTAATGCCAGAATTGGAGATTCAAACCACAAAATCCTAGGGCGCACCGTTGATACCTCATTCTGGCTTTCGCACTGTTTTGGTTACCTTCTATTTTGGTAAATGTAGAGAATTTGACACTGTAACCATATCATCATCTTCAATGTATATATATCAATCCTTATTATTAATTAATTAATTATTATTTTATTATATATAAT